TATATTGCAAATAATTGAAATAATTGAAATAATTGAAATAATTCAAACATAAGGTGCTGATTTCAATTATTTCAATTATTTAGGTGACCCAAACAATTGAAATAATTGAAATAATTGAAATCGGCCCCATTTCAATTATTTCAATTATTTCAATTATTTCAATTATTTCAATTAATTGAAATCCTATGGTTCTGTGGAAGGGTCACACGAACCAATAGGATTTCAATTATTTCAATTATTTCGATTATTTGTGTCATCCAAACAATTGAAATAATTGAAATAATTGAAATCAATAGGTTTACTAGGTCAACGGATGAACCACACGATTTCAATTAATTGAAATAATTGAAATAATTGAAATAATTGAAATCGGCCCTATTTCAATTATTTCAATTATTTCAATTATTTAGGTGACCCAAACAATTGAAATAATTGAAATAATTGAAATCGGCCCCATTTCAATTATTTCAATTATTTCAATTATTTCAATTATTTCAATTAATTGAAATCCTATGGTTCTGTGGGAAGGGCCTCACGGACCACAAGGATTTCAATTATTTCAATTATTTCGATTATTTGTGTCACCCAAACAATTGAAATAATTGAAATAATTGAAATCAATAGGTTTACTAGGTCAACGGATGAACCACACGATTTCAATTAATTGAAATAATTGAAATAATTGAAATCGGCCCTATTTCAATTATTTCAATTATTTCAATTATTTAGGTGACCCAAACAATTGAAATAATTGAAATAATTGAAATCAATAGGTTTACTAGGTCAACGGATGAACCACACGATTTCAATTAATTGAAATAATTGAAATAATTGAAATCGGCCCTATTTCAATTATTTCAATTATTTAGGTGACCCAAACAATTGAAATAATTGAAATAATTGAAATCTCAATTATTTCACTTATTTCAATTATTTCAATTAATTGAAATCCTATGGTTCTGTGGAAGGGCCTCACGGACCACAAGGATTTCAATTATTTCAATTATTTCAATTATTTAGGTGACCCAAACAATTGAAATAATTGAAATAATTGAAATCAATAGGTTTACTAGGTAAACGGATGAACCACACGATTTCAATTAATTGAAATAATTGAAATAATTGAAATAATTGAAATAATTGAAATCGGCCCTATTTCAATTATTTCAATTATTTCACTTATTTAGGTGACCCAAACAATTGAAATAATTGAAATAATTGAAATCGGCCCCATTTCAATTATTTCAATTATTTCAATTATTTCAATTAATTGAAATCCTATGGTTCTGTGGAAGGGCCTCACTGACCACAAGGATTTCAATTATTTCAACTATTTCAATTATTTATGTGACCCAAACAATTGAAATAATTGAAATAATTGAAATCGGCCCCATTTCAATTATTTCAATTATTTCAATTATTTCAATTATTTCAATTAATTGAAATGGTGGGGTTCTGTGGAAGGGCCTCACGGACCACAAGGATTTCAATTATTTCAATTATTTCAATTATTTATGTGACCCAAACAATTGAAATAATTGAAATAATTGAAATCGGCCCCATTTCAATTATTTCAATTATTTCAATTATTTCAATTATTTCAATTAATTGAAATGGTGGGGTTCTGTCGATAGGGCCACTGCCTCACCCCCTGCTCTCCCCCGCCCACCACCATTCCCCTGTGCCCATTCCCTCCACCCCCTCCCTTCCCATCCTCTCGCCTGCCCTCCCTCCTCCCTCTTCCTCCTTCCCCTTCGCCTCACACCACTGCAGGAGGGGGGGGTGGGCAGGTGGAAGGGTGGCCTTCCACCCTTCCCACCCCCCCACCCCCCCCCACTACCCCCACCACCACACCCTTCCACCCCCCCCACCCCGGCCGTGACCTCCGTCCCCCCACCTTGTGGGGTTGGAGGGGGGGTGGGCGGGTGGTAGGGTAGGGGATTCCTCCTCCCACTACCCTACCCACCCCCACACCTTCCACCCCCACCAACCCTCCCCTGCCGTGGGTCCTCCATCCCCCCACCTGTGCAGGGGAGATAGGCTTTGGGAGGGTTAGAAGATGGGGTGCCACCTTCCCACCCCCCCACTACCTACCAACCATCCCCTCCACCCACCCCCTCACTCATCCACCCCCCACCCCTCCACCCCCAACCCCTCACCCACGCACTCCTCCACCCGCTCCGTTCCCCTCTCCTTACCCTCTCCCTTCAATTCTCTCCCACCCCTCAAAACCTCCTCCCTCCCCCCTCACCCCATCATTGCCTCCCCTCCCCATCCCTTCCCCTCACTCCATCCTCCTCATCTCCTCTGCCCTTCCTTATACCATCTCTTCCCTTCCTCCGCTCCCCTCCACCCCTCAAACATTCTTTTCATTCCCTACCCCTAAACCCACCGCCCCTCAACCCCTGAATCCACCTCCACCCTACCAAAGAGTTAGCGAAGATGTCATTCGACAGAACAGCCTCGCCGTCAGGATCGGTGTTGGAAATGGGAAGAGACAGCAGGCTCCAAACCGCCGTGTCTCACCCACCACTTCAAGGGCTAGGGATCCCACACATCTGCGGGCAAAATCTGGCGGAAGTGATCCGCCACCTAGCAAAAAGCCTGTAAATACCGCATTAAACAAAGGGCCAGGGATTTCACATATCTGGTGTAAAATCTGGCGGAAGTGATCAATCGGTACTTCTGTCAGATTTTGCCAACAGATATGTGAAATCCCAGGCCCTTTGTTTAATGCGGTATTTACATGCTTTTTGCTAGGTGACGGATCACTTCCGCCAGATTTTGCCCGCAGATGTGTGGGATCCCTGGCCGTTTTTTGAACGCTGCATTTACAGGCTGTCTGCTCGGACATCTTCATGGTCTTTATTACCTTATCATTTCCCTTGCCATCAGTATACTATATCAAATATTTCTTCCATCACTTTTGTATTATTATATCATATTTCATTTCATATTGGTATGATCTTATTGCTGCTTATACGCTTATGTGTACAACCTCCTTATCATTTTGATCATATTGCTTATCTTTATGGTAGCCTGAGGAACACATCTATCGCGTTTGTACTGCATGCATACCAGCTTTGATGCAATTTGTAATTAGTATGTTGCCAGGTTGTAAACCACACTGCATTGCATTATTTTTCAAGCGCGGTCGCGCGCCGTCGCTATTGCTAGCAACATTGCGTTGCATCGTCTGACACCACCCTATACGTTGCATCAACTTTCAAGTGCTGTCGCGCGCAGTCGAATAACATTAAATCGGTTGTCCTGGAGGGTTCGCCTGCAGAAAGCTTCTTCACTTTCACATTAGGTGGCTGTAGAGCAGACGCAGTCGCACACGGCGGCACGAGGCACTGCCTGACCAAGAAACATGTATCCGAGCCGCCGCCTTCGGGCGTGCGTGCTCCGAGCCGCCGCCTCCGGGCGTGCGTGCTCTTGAGCCGCCGCCGTCGGGCGTGCGTGCTCCGAGCCGCCGCCTCCGGGCGTGCGTGCTCTTGAGCCGCCGCCTTCGGGCGTGCGTGCTCCGAGCCGCCGCCTCCGGGCGTGCGTGCTCTTGAGCCGCCGCCTCCGGGCGTGCGTGCTCCGAGCCGCCGCCTCCGGGCGTGCGTGCTCTTGAGCCGCCGCCTTCGGGCGTGCGTGCTCCGAGCCGCCGCCTCCGGGCGTGCGTGCTCTTGAGCCGCCGCCTTCGGGCGTGCGTGCTCCGAGCCGCCGCCTCCGGGCGTGCGTGCTCTTGAGCCGCCGCCTCCGGGCGTGCGTGCTCCGAGCCGCCGCCTCCGGGCGTGCGTGCTCTTGAGCCGCCGCCTTCGGGCGTGCGTGCTCCGAGCCGCCGCCTCCGGGCGTGCGTGCTCTTGAGCCGCCGCCTCCGGGCGTGCGTGCTCCAAGCCGCCGCCTCCGGGCGTGCGTGCTCTTGAGCAGCCGCCTCCGGGCGTGCGTGCTCCAAGCCGCCGCCTCCGGGCGTGCGTGCTCTCGAGCCGCCTTCGGGTGTGCGTGCTCCAAGCAGCTGCCTCCGGGCGTGCGTACTCATAAAGGCTGCCGCCTCCGGGCGCGCGTGTTTGAAATGCATAAATGTCTCTAGTTGTCGGTCATCAATCCAATTTTGACTAATACTAATACTAATACTAAGACTTATACTAACACAAATACTAATACTAATACGAATACTAATACTAATACTAATGCTAATGCTAATACTAGTACTAGTACTAACACTAACACAAATATACTAATAATACTAATTCCAATACTCGAATACGAATACTAATACTATTAGTCTCTACTAGTGCGAGTACGACGACGACGACTACTACTACTACTACCACCATCATTTCTGCTTCTCGTACTGCCAGTACTACTAATGCTACTGCCTGTACGGCGACTGCTATATCTGTGCGGCTGCCAGTGTTACTGCTGCTACTGCTGTGGGAAACATGGCCTGTGAAAGGTTGCTATCAGAGCCAACTGACATGCGTTAGTACTGATCAGCGCCATGCGGGTCGAAGCACCGAAACCTGGATGCATTTGCTGTTTCCCTTCCGTCGGTACCATGCAAGCTCAAGCTACCGTCTAGTCGAAGCAGTCAGTCCTGTAGCTTGAGAGCGTCATGGGCCGTGGAAAGAACCGTGGCTTCTTTCTCAGCTGACCACCCCTGTTTCTTGACACAGAAGTTTCATTGCATCCTGCTGTATAAGGCGCTACTCGTGCAACGGGCAGCCAGCGCAAGGCGCAGAAGGAGGAGCAGGGCGGGCAACTCGTCTCAGTTTGGGAATGATCTTCTTATGCACCGGCGCAGGAGCAGACGAAGAACCCGCAGCTACCTTACAGTTGTGCAAACCTCATGTTAGCAAAGCTGTGCATCTCTGATGTCTTAGGCCACAGAAAAAGCAGAAGGACTGCCAAACTCCTGCAAACCTAGCTTAGTGCAGACATTCTTGCAGCACTGCTTGTTGCGAGGAGCCTCGCGCGACAGGAGTGCTGGAGCCTCAGAGGTGACGTTCACCATGGGAAAGTATGCAACCGCAACCATAGCCAAGGTCGAAGCCTGCTGTGCACTTGACCCGGAGCACGAACTCGTGGCAAGCCTAGCTTACAAGTCTCTAGCAGACCTAAGTCAGCAGACGCAAGAATTGCAAACCATGCCAGGACCTCGGAGGTGCTAGACCTCGACCCGCCCAACCTCCAGGTAAACGGCGCGCGCACACGAGGGCCAAATTAGGTATCCAGCAGAGCCGAGCCACCGAGCCAGGACATCGACGCGTCGAAGCACCTCCTCCTTGTGAAGTTCGGTGTCACAGTTTGGTACCCACCCAAACCGCCTAAGGCGGACAACAAAAGCCAGTGGGTTGGGTACCAAAACTGCGGCGTGAAAGTGCACCGCGAGGCTAAGGAAGAATACGGCCGGATGTACCTGCGCCGGCGCGAGGATGCAATTGGTGAAAACCAAGTGTATCAGTGCCGGTGTAAGTACCTTCTGCCCACACTTCGTCCAGACCCGAAAGAAGGTGTGGCCAAGCCAGGCTTCTGGAGGGTGGAGGAGCTGGTCCTGAAGGGACGGCTCTGAGACTGCATCGGCTGGACGGGCTTGCAAAGAGTGCAGCAAGGTCAGCAAGGTTTGGTAATGATTGTGACGCGCGAGTTACGCTACTCCACCAGTACTTCTGCTGCTACTGCTACTTCTGCTGCTGTTCCCAATGCTGCTACCCGTGTTACTACTACTAGTACGACGACGACCTACCACTATCTTCATTTTACTTCACTACTTACTACGTACTACTTACTACTTACTTCTTACTACTTACTACTTACTACGTACTACTTACTACTTACTACTTACTGCTTACTACTTACTGCTTACTGCTTACTACTTACCACTTACTACTTACTACTTGCTGCTTACTGCTTACTGCTTACTTCTTACTACTTACTATACGTACTACGTACTACTTACTACTTACTACGTACTACTTACTACTTACTTCTTACTACTTACTACTTACTACGTACTACTTACTACTTACTACTTACTGCTTACTACTTACTGCTTACTGCTTACTACTTACCACTTACTACTTACTACTTGCTGCTTACTGCTTACTGCTTACTACTTACTACTTACTACGTACTACTTACTACTTACTACTTACTGCTTACTACTTACTGCTTACTGCTTACTACTTACCACTTACTACTTACTACTTGCTGCTTACTGCTTACTGCTTACTTCTTACTACTTACTATACGTACTACGTACTACTTCCTACTTACTACGTACTACCTACTACTTACTACTTACTACTTACTACTTACTACT